GAAAAGATAGTAGATGCTGTGGAAAAAAAAGATTTGGAAGAACCGCGGACTGAAACAGATCTCTTGCGTCAGATATGTAGTAACAGTTTTTCTCATAGTCGCGCTAGCCAATTCATTGATCCTTTCTAATGCCAGACTGCTTTCAGGCGCAGAGTAATATTTCTCGATCCAGCGTGCTCACCTCACTCAGCACCATCTTCTTATGATACGACCACTTGCCTTCCTCTTCAAAATTATAGGTTACCTCAATATTTGAAAATGAATGGCTTTGATAATAAAGCGCTAGTAGATGTAGGATGAAGTCTTAATGGTATAGAATAATATTAATTGTAAGAGATGTAGTTATAGAAGACTTTATCATTGCACGACATGGTAGAGTAGATTACGACGAGCAGCAACTGACAATGAAATGCTGTCTGATATATTCAGAACATGAGTAATATACATTAATAATATATGAGATTTACATAATTCAGTATATTGTTTCGAACAAATGTTCAAGATACTGCTCTAGAAATTTATATTTTCATAGAGTCGTCCATCATTTACCCATCTGACAAGCTAATTCTTTCCACCTCTAATGCTAAGTCATCATAATCATCTTCCTATTTTGTAAAATGTTACGGTTCGTACCTCAATTCCACAACAGTAAGGAGTCGGTAATCGTAGTAATTCAATGTGTTATGATTATATTTTTACAGGTTGTGATACTTAATAATCAAGAAACATGTTCGTATAATGAATAACCTAATATGATTATGAAAATCTTTAGCAAACCTGTATGCGACATGTATTGTATATTTTTGAGATAGCTTACTGAAAGAAAACCCGATTTGTATTTCCCTATGCTAAACTAGTTTCCTTTCCGTCGCCTTTTCTTCCAACACCTATAGTTATCAAAATTAAATGGAAATTTTTGTTATTAAGATATAATCTCTAGCATAGGCTATAGGATCTCAGGATCATATATTACAATTTATCACGAGCTGACCAAACTTATGTGATTTTTGGGATTTCTATTTGGCAATAGTATATCTCAATGCTGATTTCGAACAAATGTTCAAGAAAATGCAGTAGAAGTTTAGATTTTCATAAAGTCTATGATT